CTTGACATCTTGAGCACTAGTGCTGTGTTGGTCAGGGCTTGGGTTTCCGAGAAATTGATCCAGGTCGATGGAAATCGAAATCTTGATGACATTGTGGCTATTAAATTAGAGATGTTAAGTGACAGAAATTTAATCCAAGCATCTTCTAGAGATTCGGATGGAAGAGTGGAAAGTTGTCGCATTCATGATCTTCTACGCTTTCTTTGCATCGAAAAGGCCAACGAGAACAACTTCTTCTTTAATGCACTCCATGATAGACACTCTAATTCATTTTCAATGCTTCGTAGACTTACAATCGACAACACTAGTCAATTTTCTTTTTCAAAAACTCCAAAACTTCGTACCTTGTTCTGTTTCTCTAACTCAAGAGAAGGATGGACTTTGATTCCTAATGAGATAGGAGATCTGAGTAGGTTGACTTTCCTTATGTTGAGAGGGAGATTTGAAAGGATGCCTTCAACCATAAGGAATCTCAAGAAATTGGTGACATTGGATATTCTACTAGCACATTTTAATTGTGGTTTGCCAAGAACTATTTTCAGGATGAAGCATTTGAAGCATTTACTCGTAGGCAGTGGTAAAACGTTTGAGTCTAACAAATGCACAAATTTGAATGTCAGAAATGAGGTGTATTTACCGAACGTAGAAACTTTATTTGGGATGCCTGTTACCATTTTGAAAGCTAGCTCATTACAAAATCTCTCCACCTTGAGAGAGCTGTTTTTATACGAGATTAATGACCAATGTATAAATGTCATATCTGGTAAAACACCCATATCAGAGAAGCTCCATTACTTGGAATTGTTGTTCACTCAGAAGTTTGAGAGGTTAAACTTGTCCCGCTATGACCGTCTTGCTAGTTTGACTATGGAAGCTGGATCTGATTTTCCATTCAATCTTGACACCATTGAATTCCCTCCAAACCTTATCTCACTTGAACTTTCGTTCCTGAAATTCACTGAGGATCCAATGAAGGTACTAAAGGAACTACGCAAATTAGAGTTCCTTCAATTGTCAGGTTGTAAATACAGCCAATCAATCACGATGGATTTCTCAGGAGAAAACAGCTTTCCAGAGCTTCGAGTTTTGCTACTTTATGGATTATTTCCAGAGTTGATTGTGGATCAAAGAGGGATGCCAAAGCTTAACAAGTTTGTGTGCAGCCAAAAAGGCATAAATGTTCCCGAGAGACTACGTGAAATAATGGAGGTGCCATGAAGTTAGACCACCATTCAAGAGGTTAGTGTACTTTTTCTAGTTCTAAATATGGTTTATACTGTTTCTTCCTTGTTTTCTTCTTTCCTTGCAATAAAATATTGAAAATACTCTTTTTCTTTTCTGTACAATATTGTTAAGATATAAATTTAAAGTAATCCAAAATACTCTTATGAAAATTCATAATTCAAACACAAAGCTTAATAATTTAGTAAGTT